CTCAAGAGCTATTGGAGTTAGCCTGGAGGAGAAGGGGAAGATGGAGGAAGGCATCTCCCCCGTAGGTTGGCTCTCTGAGGAGAAAAAATGAAAAGTCTAATTATTAATAATTTCTGATAGATGGCCCCCAAAGTACAGAGGTGATGGCAATGCTGAGTACAAATACGAGACTGATCTCACAACCAATAATTTTATCATACCATAAGTCAGTGTTACACAGTACAGCAAAGCGATAACCTTAATCCACCTCCCAGAGGTGATAAACAGCACATAAATATTGATAAACAGTATATATGGCAAGTAAGGTGTTACATAACACAGCTCTGAGAGCAAATACAACAACTTAGAAAGCAAATAAATCAACATTGTAACCAGCAACTACTAAACAAATATAATGAATGCTTGTAACAAATTTGTTTTAACCCACTCTGGTCAGATCTGTCGTTATCTCAACCCTTCGTGTTGGGCACCAAAAAGGACGGTTGTGGTTTAACCCCAGTCGGCAACTAAGTACCACACAGCCGCGTGCTCACCCTCCTCTCCCCTGGTGGGATGGGGGAGAGAATCGGGAAAAAAAAGTAAAACCCATGGGTTGAGATAAAGACAGTTTAATAGGACAGAAAAGGAAGGGAAAATAATAATAATAATAATAATAATAATAATAATAATAATAATAATAATAATAGAATATACAAAGCAAGTGATGCACAATGCAATTGCTCATCACCCGCCGACCGATGCCCAGCCAGTCCCCGAGCAGTGATTGCTGCCTCCTGGCCAACTCCCCCCAGTTTATATACTAAGCATGACATCATATGGTATGGAATACCCCTTTGGCCAGTTTGGGTCATCTGTCCTGGCTGTGCCGCCTCCCAGCTTCTCGCTGGCAGGGCATGAGAAGCTGAGAAGCCCTTGACTAGTGTGAGCACTACTTAGCAACAACTAAAACATCAATGTGTTATCAACATTATTCTCATACTAGATCCAAAACACAGCACTATACCAGCTACTTGGAAGAAAATTAACTCTATCCCAGCCGAAACCAGGACAGCTCCCTACAGCTCCAAGCTAATCTCCAAACCCTGGCCAGGAAGCAGATAGGTAACAGCCCTGCAGGATTCTTTAACATCCCCTGTGCCCAGAGTGACCCCTGCCCCCAGCTTTGCTAAACCCCCTTCAGTGAGGATCAAGTGAGGGTTCAGGGATTTATTAGGCACACATGGCTAATCTTTGCAGCCAAGGCAATAGATACTAGCTGCTCTGCAGTCATAATCTCCTGGCTTTCAGGGTGGCCCTGGATTGAGTCACCTCTATAAGAAATGCAATGAACCCTGAAGCCTTATTCACTGATTTGAATTGGTGTCTTTCGGGACCATCAATGTGCAGCTGTGGCTGTGACTGCTAGCTCCAGCAGGGAAGCCAGGTGGTTGCTGACTAGACAATCCAGTTTATGCACTGGCTGTGGAAAACTGGCTGGGAAGAATGAGTCCTTAATGACCACTACAGATTACTGCCTACTCAAATTCATTCCTTTGGTGAGGCGATGGGCAGTGCAAGAGGTTGCAGTAATTTGTGTAATGGTTTCTTTCTGCTGCTCCTTGCTTCTTACTCATTTTCCTCTGCTCTGGTATGGCTCACCTATGGGCCGCAGTCCCCTTTGGGGAGTACCGGTATAGAGCACCTCTCTTCAGGAGTGCATCTCCAGCTGTGTACCCAACAATTTCTCCTTCTATGTGTTTTCTCCATTTCTCCTTTTATGTCTCCTCTGCTTCTTCTCAGTGTCTTTTCCTCTTTTCCTCCCTAAGTGGCTGCTGCTATCTCTTAAATATGTGTGAGCTGGGGTGCCATGTGCTCCTCTGAGGTTTTGGCTTGTAGTGGGTTGTTTACATTGATTCCAGAGTTATCTCTGGTACTGGCTGTGACTGGCACAGGGCAATACATGATCTCCTCCTGCACATGTCACCTCTGCAACCTGCTGCTGAAGCCCTGCAATTTATGTGCAGTCTGCTGCGTTACAGAAGCACAACATTCTCATTAACTGCCAATTGGGTTTCTTGTGTTTCCCTGCAGGAAAAGAATACTCAGATCCTGAGGGCAAAAGTCTGCCCTGGGATCTTCTCTGGGCTGTCTTCCCCATTTCAGCACCCAATGTGGGTTGGTCTGGACTCCCATGTTTCTGGTTTTACAGTGTGAGGCACCACAGCACAGCCTCAGCCCAATATTCCTACACCACTGCAGCTCTGTCTTGCCAGATCCCAGGACTCTGCTCCCCACCCCTCTATGCTCCCAGATAAATACAGTGATCCTGTGGATGTCTGTGAGAAGAAGGAGGCAGAAAACACTACTATTCCATTACTCATGACTGTCACATTGAACCGGCACCAGGGAAGGGCATGCCCTTCAGGTACTTCTTTGCCTTATAGCACCCTGAATTGGCAGCCTGCAAGGAGGACCTCAAGGACTGTCTGGCATGTAGGTTTATCCACTCCTCACATGTCCCTGCTGGGGCCCCTATTTTTTTTTCCTTCTTGAAAAAAAAAAGAAAGTCTCTGTGTAGATTGCAGTGAGCTGAATGGCACCGCAGTAGAGAACTGGCACCCTCTGCCTCTTGCTCTGGAGTTCTGTGAACATCTGCAGGGAACTTGCTGGTTCACAAAGCTAGACCTGTGAGAGGCCTGGCAGGAAAATGAATGGAAAACTGCTTTTCACACCACATACAGCTACTATGTTGTGATGCCATCTGCTCTCTGCAATGCTCCAGCCAACTTCCAGCATATTGTAAATGATGTTGTGAAAGACCTGCTTCATTACTACATAGCAGCATGTCCAGATGACATCTTTGATATTCTGCACCATTTAAGAGGCATATGTAGACCATGTCTGGGAGGTCTTGAGTTTCCTGGGGCAGCACAGAATTCTATGCCAAATTTGAGAAATAGTCCTTTCACCAGCAGAGGGTGGAGTTCCTGAGGCCCCAACATCTTGCATATGGACCCAAAAAAAGTTGAAGCCATCACTCTCTGGTGTGCAGGCAGTGCACAGGATCTTAGGATTTGCCAACATCTATTGACAATTCATGAAGGGTTTTTTTTTTTTCTGGTATTGTGGTTCCTACAAGAGCATTCACCTGAAGCAGGCTTGCTTTTGGTGGATGCCTGTAGCACAAGTGGCTTTTGAGAAAATGAAATGGGCATTCACCACAGGTACTAACCTACTCTACCCAGACTCCAGTTGGCCTTAAGTTGCAGAAGCAGCCAAGCCACAGTGACCATCCTCCCCCAGAAGGTCTGCCTTACACAGGAGCGCCACCCTTTTTTCTCTTAGCAGCTCCTCCCCACTGAGAGGAATTAGAAGCTTATCTGGGATAAGGAGTGTCTTGCCAATCAAAGCTGCGTTTGGGCAATGGCAGCAATTCCTTGAGAAGGCAAAAAACCACAACAGTGTTGCTGACCAACCATCAGAACATGGAATAGTATCAATGGGTGAAGCGTTTCTCTCTCCATCTTGCCTCCTTTACATGGTTCCCCTTCACTTTCACATTATGTCCAGGAAAAATAAACAGCAAGGCAGATGCCTTGTCATGGAAGGAAGATTCAGATTTGGAAGCACACCTTCTGCATGCACCCCAACCCTGTTTTCTCCAAGACATTTCATTACAGCCATGGCAGAGGATGAATTCATTGCAGAATTTTTCCAGGCAACTGGAAGCAACTTGAATGCAACACAGCATCCCATTGGCACAGCTGCCCTCAGCCTGCAAGAGCAGGATGATTGCCTGTACCATGGCAGGCAGCTGTACATCCTACAGGGACCACTGCAGACACAAGTCTTCTGCCGATGCCATCATGTTCCTGCACCCAGACACAGGGACTGCTGGATGATGCAGTACCTGATTACTTGGTGGCCTACAGGACAGGGAGATGTGGTTGACTATGTCCAGGCCCACAACAGCTGTGCTTGCACCAAAAGATCACCGGGTCCGTAACAGCTCCTCCCTGCTGCCAAATAGCCTTGGCATATTTGTGCATATGGATTTAATAGCAGACCTGCCCCCCTTGGAGTGGAATGCAGTGGTCATAATGATTGTGGAACTGTTCACCAACATAGTTTACTTCATTCCCCTCAGGAAGTTGCCCATAGCCACTACCTCATCCTTCCTATAGTGTGTTTTGTGATGCCATGGCCTCCCAGACAGCATAATTAGTGACCAAGGGGCCCATTTAACAGCCAGATTTTAAAAGGAGCTCATGGGCCTTCTCCAAGTGCAAACCCACCTCTCCTTCTTGTACCATCTGCCAGACAAGTCATCAGACTGAACACCAATCAAATCCTGGACCAATACCTCCAGTGTTACAGTAACTTTCTCCAAAAATGAGAGGGTCACCATCTTCCTATTGGTAGCATTTGGCCATGCTAACAACATCCATATATTTACACAGCAGACCCCTTTGCTTACTTTGGTTTCCTCTTGCAAAGTCATCCAGCCACACCAGCTGCTTCATGCTTAATTGCAAGTTGGAGATCTGCTCAAACACTGCAACAGGGTTCTAACCCCCTCATAACTCAGCTGGACAAGGTCAAAAGGGCCTACAAAAGATGAGTCTTGGCTGGTTCTTGGCAGTTCTCCTGGGACACGGGCTCTGGCCATATTGGGAGAGAATATTGGAGAGTTATTTCGCTAGGGAGGCATAAACAACTGCAAACAGGGTTCTAACTCCCTCATAACTCAGCTGGACAAGGTCAAAAGGGCCTACAAAAGATGAGTCTTGGCTGGTTCTTGGCAGTTCTCCTGGGACACGGTCTGCAGAGGAACAAGTCTAGCTCAGGCCTCCTCCAGCTCTGTTGCAAGCTGTAGGCTTGGAATACTGGTGTCTACAGGGAAGAAGAATATGGGCGATACTTTGCTGTAGTGTGTATCTCCAGACAACACCAAGAAACACATTTCTCCCAGTATTCTTTCTCCACAGGGGCATTTGAGATTGGAAATCACAGGAGTCAGGATGAGGCTAGAGGTTGCCTTGATCAAGGGGGTAGGAGTGAAGATGATGGCTCTTCACCCATTTCCTGGAAAGGCTCTCACAAAGGAAGGGGCAAGATCAAGAGCAGGCATTACCTCAGGAGCAGCTGGGACACAATGCAGACATGCTATGGCATTGTGTGCTCTCAGCTCTACACCAGCAGAATTTCTCAATTCTCAACAGCCAGCTCTTCTAGCAGATGGAGCAGCTCAAGCCACAGATAGACAAGCAACTCCTTTGGAAGATCTCTATGCCCCTTTTTGTTCAAACACTGCAGAACGGCACTACCTCCTGCAGCCTCAGTTCAGGAAGGCCCAACTCTTGGGAGCAGTCAGTCACTCAGCACCAAAGCCAGCTGTGCTCTGTATGACTTGGCAGAGGAAAGACATCAGCAGTCTCAGCAGGACCTGTGAGATTGCTACTGTGGATATAAATTGCGATTGCCCACACATGCGTTGGAGAGGCAGAAATGGAGACAAGAGACTGAATGTGTCTGTGGAGAATGCAGCTAGGGAAGGGAGCTGGGGGAAACTTGCAGAACTTGCCAGCATATGGGTGCAGATGGTAAGAAAGAAATCAGAGCTTTTTATTTATTTAATTTTTGGCTACAGTCTAGGTAGGTCAAAAGGCCTCTGCAGCCCTATCAGGGCAGAGCCACCACAGGCCAGACGCGGTTCGTGTCTATCATGAGCCGGCCAACACCTAATAGCCTTCCCACAGACTGGTAAGAGTCAGACATAAGAAGGCTCCAGTGACTTCTTTTCTTTCCAGAGTGATGTGCTCACAAAAGACAGTGGCCCAGCCGGGAGTCTCAGAGATGACTTTTCACATGTTGAAATTCTGTACCCACTTCTGATTTCTGAGGTGCATAGCACAAGCTGATCCTACCTTTGGTCCGGGTGTCCCAGGTCCCAACACTGCCTTCCCTGATGAACAGCTTATGGAGGACAAGTTCTGAAGTCCCCACACAGCCCGTTTACCCAGCCAAAAAGAGGTGGCCTACAGCAGCTGCTCCCATTGCTGAGATACCGGACCAGCCCCACAGGGCTCCACAGAGCTTGCATCTTGGTTTGGAGCCTCCAGCAAGCAGCAGTTCTGCTGTCTTAGGTGGAAGAAAGAGGCAGGTCCCCACCACAGGCCCTGATGGTGAAAGCTGTCTGGCATGAACACAAACAGCAAATGAGGTAGACACAGACAGCATGTTGTGTTACCAGGAACTAAGCACAGCTCACCAGTCTGCAGGTATAGAGTAAGTATTGTTCTAGAACGGCATCCGTAGGGATGTAAGGAAAGGGAGATGTGCATGGCATACTAGAAAGACATGCTGGCAATTAGGACCAAAGGCCTGTATGCTAAAGGACTCCTGGCAACTAACTTCTGATTTGCACGCAGCAGACACCCTATTTTGGGAGAAGAATAATTTAGCTGTATAAACATAAACTATATCTTGTTACAAAGTTTCTGAGCATCCATAGTTCTATCTGGAAAATCTCAATGAGTAGTAGTATGTGCTGCTGAGATGCCCAGTATGAACACAAAGCACCTCCAATGCTCATACAAAATCCAACATATAGGGCTTACCATACATATATTTCTCAGTTAACTACACTTCTAACCAGAACACAAGGCACTTGCTCCGCATGCATCTGTCACATGTACAGCTGACATGCAGTGGATCTATAAGCACGGAGTAGTCACATCCCTGTGATTTCTAGTCAACCTTGCCTACTTTATGTAATTTCAAGGAAAAGAATACAAGAGGATTCTACTAATGTTGTGTCACCCAATTTACTATAATAAGTTCAAGCTTTTTTTAAAGAAAGACCTTAAAATTTAAACATGATGGATTTCAAATAGATCCTTGTAACCGGTACGGCCTCCTTCCTCTAGCACTTATCATTCAAATATCAGAGGCAAACAGGTAAAAGAATTCACTGCACACAGTAAAAGTATACAGGAGGACCAGGCCAGTTAATTTACCACCTGGATGTTCTCCCGATACTGAGAAGAGGCACTAAGAATGATACTTCAGGAACGATACAGAAAAAATCTTTGATGTCATGGTAACAGAACAAAGAACCAGAGCCCCTCTCAGAGTAATTTTCATAATCAGAAGAAACTGTACCTCTGAATTGATGAGCAGCCTGTGGCAACAGAGCTGCTTTCCAACATCTGACAAATCAGAGAGGAAAAGAAAAAAAAGATCTAAAAAAGAGGTATTGCAGTACTGAAGAAATATGCACAAAGCAGTCAGAAAATAGGGTAAAGAAGGACAAAGCCTGAGAAGGGAGATAAGAACATGACACATCATTTTCACCCTGAACTAGGAGTTGACTCACCCAGATTCCTACACAATGCCCATAAGACTATAGGAAACAGAAGCTTTTTGTGTCCTGTAGTACACTCACCTGAAAAAACTCCTATATATTTATTCTCAGGACTCTGAATACTATGCAGTGGTAACCCAGCAGCCGAGTCTGCAATGCTGAGCGTACCGTTCAACTGGTGTGCCTGGATTTGTCTTACACTAGAGGAAAAACCTGAAAAAGCAGGTGAAATAGAGCCATTCAGAAGAGCAAGAAGTAGTGTATTCTGTCTCAAATTCCATTACTGTCAATTTATGTTACAGAAACTCATAATTCTGCAGAATGTGTGTGTGTGTGTACATATCCATATAGAGAGTGAGGGAGAGAAAGAGAGAGAAGAAAAATAGGAAGAAGAGTAGTTTGTATATACCAGATATAGACAAAAGGTAAAGGACTCCTCTATGAGTCACTATGCCAGCGATCATCTAGCTGGCAGCCTAATTAAGGCTTTAATTTAAGACAGACCTAATTTAAGCATTTCTTAAGGGTCAACACTGAGGCTGACACTGTTTAACATCTTCACCAATGATCTGGAAAAGGGGATGGAAGGACCCTGAACAAGTTTGCATATGACAGAAAATTGCAGGGAGCACGTGATATGCTCAAAGGCAGGCCTGTCATTCAGATTGACCTTGACAAGCTGGAGGAATGGGCCACCAGGAGCCTCATAATATATACAGGGAGAGGCTGAGGTAACTGGGTTTGTCCAGCCAGGAGAAGAGAAGACTAAATGAGAGATCTAATTGCTATCTTCAACTACCTAAGGGGGTTTATAGAGAAAACTGAGCCAAGCTCTTCTCTGAGATGCACAGCTAAACAAGAAGCGACAGACTCAAACTGAAACAACAGAAATTCTGGCTGGAGAGGAGAAAAAGATTCTTCACTCTTAGAACAGTTAAGCAGGTTAGCCAGAGAGATGTTAGGATCTACATCCTTGGAGATTTTAAAAATCACCTGGACAGGGCCTTGAGCAACCTGATCCAGCCTGTAGTTAAATCCACTTTGAGCAGGTTGGACTACAGACCTTCAGAGGTCCCTTGCAAGCTAAATTTTTTCTATGGTGCTGTAATATTATTTATAATAATAAAATGATAATATCCTTGCCTGCTAATGTTGAAATAAAACAGCTGTTTCAAGTCTGTCTTAAATGAGTTGTTTCCTTACTATTATTGCAACCCAGGGTACTGGGGATAGGAAGCAAGAAAAAGTGAAGATTGCACTTCCATCCCGAAGTGTTGTCTCTTTAGTGAGAAGAGTAGGATCCTATTTGTCTGCATTTCCATTCTGGAGATCTGAAGTACTTCAGAGACCTTGTACATTAGACTGTCAATAGGGGAACACCACAAAAATCTGAAATTGGCAAGAGCAGCTGAAACAAGAGATTCCACTGAAAGACTGCATAGCAATTCTGCATAGGAAGTACCTCTGCATGTCACCACAGCTGGGATAGGTGGAAGTGGCACATCTCCATGGAGTAATACTACTCATTTGATATTTTTGTTCAACATCAGGTAAGACATTTGGATGCAAGCCTTTGAAAGAGTTTAATGTAGGCAAAGTATTAAAGTATTATACTAGTGAAAATTCATATTAGTACAAGAACTGTAGGGGTGTAAGGTTAAAGGGGAAAAAAAACCGCAAAACCAGGTGAGAGGGATATCAGGCCAAGGAACTTCATTTATATAAATCCTTAATAATCAGTCCAATATATATCAGTCCAATAATATTTCTTATTTTTATTAATGGATTTCACATCAGATTAAGTCCATGATAATAGAATTTTCTGAGGACACTAAACATTGTCCATGGGGAACTGCAACAGCATACAGAACTACTTGGATATTATAGAGAATGAAGTGATAGCATCTCAGTGAAAGGTAATGGCTCAATATCCAGGCCATGCAAATAGTTACAAAACCAGTCACAGTGTTTAGAAACTCAAGAAGGAAGGTGGCAAGTAGGATCTTCAGTTGCAAGAGGGGATGAGCTGTCTGCAAAGTTAAAGAAACTGAGTTGCCATTTTCCAAAGCACAAGTAAAACTCATCATCTGGAATTTCCTCATCTGGAATTTAATTCACGTATATCTCCGGTCACCTGTGTTTAAGAAAATGTGATCCACAATTCAGGGAATAGAAGATTTCTCCTAAGAGATAAAGCAAAACCAGCTCAGATTGCTTAGCCTATCAGAGGCCAAAACAAAACAGGCCAGGGTCAAGAAAAGCCAAGATAGAGTTTGGTTTTGTTCTTTGAATATACAGCATAGGCATACACAGTTGGAAGTGAGGAGAACTGTTTAAGGTAACAGAAGAATTGGCAGAAGAACAAAAAAATATAAATTGGCTATGATTAAATTTAAAATGGAAATTAAAAATGGGCTTCTAACAATCAGGGAGTGACATTCTGGACCAGCTCCCAATAAACATAGACAGAATAAGAAATCTAAATAGCTGATAATTGCTGTAAAGGATTACATGTGACTGTGAGATGCTTGACTCAATGATTCAACAGATTTCTTCGAGCTCCCATGTTCCTAATTTCTATATAAATTATGAATACATGGTGGTGTCATAAACTACCACCAACATATCTCTCAATGACATTGTCTTCATCACCTTATCAAGAGTTTAGTAATAAAATTCAGTACTGTATGAAGACCTGGAAGCAGTAATACGTCACTGAAGCATGAAGCACGAGCAGGGATGTCATTAGCCACTGCCTAAAAGAAATTTTAACACTTAATGCTACTCAAGAAAATTTTCCCAGATCATCTTGTTGATCAGGTCTGATCACTGTGCTAAGCTGTAACTTTCCCACTGCTTGTTGACAGGTTGCAACTGGCATGGCTATTCTGAACTAGTCATGGGAATACAAAAAAAAAAAAAAAAAAAGGGACTAGTGACTGTATTGATGATCTTTGTGTTGGCTGAGTGATAAAATTTACATAAGCATTTCATGCTGCCGATAATTTGGAGGCAGAAGGACAATACAGTTTTTACTCCTCCGTGGTAATAACTTGGAAAAGATTACATGCAAGCTAGTAGAGTGAGAAAGTAAGAGCTTTCAAATGCCATATGCCAAAAGCATCAAAGCTGAAAACAAGAATACTTCATTGCTGACTGCAACAGAGTTATCCTGGTTGAAGTTCTGGAATGTCAAACCAAGGCATCTGCAAGAAGGGAAAACTATTCACATTTTAA